CTTGAAGGGTCTCGGTAAAGAAACTAAAAGACTTCCTAAATATAACTTCACCGTCTTTGAATTTTATGGCGCACGCTCTTCTTAATAAATGGAGCAAATAATTACCTCCAAAATTTTACCACAAGGGTTTTGGAGACGTATAGAAAGTTTGCACTGAGACTTGATCAATTATACTTTATATTATATTCAGTCGGAATCCTCCAGGATATAGCCTGGTGACTAAGATCTAAGAGGTCGTGTGATCCAAGATTGGGTTAATCAAAATTTTGCATGCTCGCTCATTGTTAATACGATTCGTTGCACCCAGCCTTCGTGTCGTCGGTTTACTACTACTTAGGCGATTGTAGCTCGTTTAGGATCAATTGAATAATGAGGCATTTCAAATTATGATGATTGGCAAAATGATCATACTGTTGCAAAAGATCCGTTACGTCTTTTTTAGTTATCATCTTGGAGTCCCTTTAGTCAGTTCAGTTTCTACTTCAGTTTGGTAAGCAATTATTATATTAAAAGATTTTTTTCTTTAATAATATTTTTGGAGCATACGACAACAACGAAAATTGTTGCTGTCACTGTCTTATACAAACATTCTGACGCGACAACAACATAATTCTTACCCAGGTAACTTGTATCTAACCATTGGAAAATCAGCCCTTACTCAGGTAATTTTAAACTGAATAGCGTTGAATTGACACCACCTTCTGTTCCAAATGGTCATTTGAGTCAATTCTGATAGCGTGGTCATATTAAACTCTCTCTTATCTGTCTGTATTTTTACAATGGTTAAACGTTCTAATATTAAAGAGGTTGCTTAAATTATAGGAAGTTTGATCAATTGAAGAAGCTTTGTTGCATTAAGTCTTAACTTCACCAGGAGACGGTCATCGACTTGCTGTCATGATACACAACAGTTTCCACTAACGACGTCTATTTACCTCCTTTCTTCCGCTTACATAAGTCGTCTTCGCGTATTATGTATAAAAACGTTACATACGGTACCTCGTTATCGAACGTAGTATCAAGCGCGGTTCTACGATTTAGGCTAAGAACTCACGGAGCGATTTTGAACCGTGCCCGCCGCGGTAGCGGAACTGCGGTTTTATTTCCAAACTCACGAGACCGGTTATTTGCGCGGTTACACAGCCGCCGCGGTTGCGATCATCGCCCGCAAACGTGGCGGGCGATGATCGCAAGATTGCAAGACGGGCGGTTAAAGATCAGTTGAGGTCCAGACCGCCATGGACACACACCAGAAACGAGCCGTTGCGTTATATTTACTTCACAGAAGACCCGCCGGCCCCCGCGGTCGCTCGCCAACCGATCGCAAAGCGCGCGGGTGCCACCCGCCGAGACTGCGGGTAACCGCGGCCCGCGCGATTCTACTAGTTGCCCGCCGGTACAGCGGGAGCCGCATACAACCGCGTACACCGCGGGCGTAAAACGCGTCGTGAAATATGCTTTAATTTTTTATATGAATATTTGAATTCTACAGAAGCTGCGGGCCCGCAACCGCAGCGGACGCGGGCGAAAATCGCTCCGTGAGTTCTTAGCCTTACTCCTCTGATAACGTAAATAGCACTCTACCAGGAAATCCCGATTATTCAAGGGTTTGTAAGGAAACGTTCGGTGGTTACCTAGTTAGTACTAGATTTCAGTAGGTATTGATTAGGCTCATAAATTCTGTTCCAAATTTGTGATGCTAGGATTAACATATTCGGTTAAAGATCAACTATATTGTGTGACAATTAAATAGCTCTCCTAAAAAAACTTATTTGCTGATGAATTATTACTGTTTTATTTGGCTCACTGCTCACTTTCCAAGCTTTAATTTTCGTTGTAGGAATATTCTGTCTACAGCAAATGGACACTGTTTGCATTCACTAGTTCTATAAGCTTCAAAACAAACAATTCTAATAATCGCTACAAACAGTAAAAGTTTGTATAGATATCAAGTTTTATGGTGTATTGCCATGAACGTTACGTGTAGTAATTACTACTGCTGTTATATCTACCGTCTCATTCACTATCCAATTGTGAGGCAATATAGTCTCTATCAAAATAATTAGGTATCCGTAAACGTAGCAGATTATTTGCCGGAAAATATACTTTATTGAGTTAATTAGTTGTAAGGGATTTTCATTCTTTTTAAAGACATTGTTGATATATCGTATGTTTTTCATTCACTTAAGTCTTTCTGTAAGGTTTATTATGAAAATATCCTACGCATCCAGAATAGCTGATCTTGATTCACTTTTCAAATGTCATATGGCAAGCATTCGAAGTGTCCGCGATACTTGGTCTCAATAACCACGCGGCGCGGCCGAATTTGTTGGCAACAAACAGCTGACTTCAAATAATGCAACGTGGAAGCGGATCCCAATTGATCAATGCGTCCCTCCGTTGTCAAGAGAACCGTTGTTATGCGCTTGTGCCATCGATAATATTTTTGTGTCCCAATTGGTGACAGCACAATGTTCTACAGGTTAGGCCATGTTTCGGTTGACTTTTAGACCACCACGTTGTTGAGAACAGCTGTGCAATTGAAATACTTTGTTCTTTATAACATTGACATTTTCTACAATCGTTGTCGTTGAATAAAATTTATTGAAATGTGCATATTTATTTATCGAAGTATAAAAAGTACTTAAATTCCAGTTATTACTAAAAAGGTAACCTGTTAAACGGTTTGCAAATCAATGAATGACCCAGATTACAATATTTATTATAGTACCTGATACACAAAACATTCGTGATTCAGTTGTATTTCACAACTTTGCAAGGGTGCATGGGGATCCTGTGTTTCGGTAGCGTTGGTGCTTAGTATTAGTTTAAAGAAAAGTCTAGGTGCTATAAAAGTGTGCTGCTGACGCCTAAGTTGTATGTTTTCATAGAAGTAGGTACAAACCGAGGTCACAATATTTATGTGTTTACCAAGACTTGAAAAATGTACGATAGTTTCTCATGCAAAATTATTTAAAGTTTTTGCTACGTATAAAAATAATGGTTTCGTGTTTTGTAGGTGGTTCCATTAAGCGCTTTAATTTGCGTGTCCTGTAATTGAACAAAAGAAATATTTTAGTTAAATTCCCAGCTGGGCTTTTAGATTGACTTGCTTTATATAGTTATTACCAGTAATTATGGTAGTTATTTAAAATGTCATTCGTATTTGTTATTTGTCACCAAATTGCTATTGGATGCGGTGGTTGAAATCGATGTCAACCAAAATGCGTTACTAAGGAACTTATTCACCCTTCCTTGATACCCCACTGCCAAGTTCACAACCCCTAAATTGTCACAACTATTGATTAGTCACATAAAAGAGCATGACGTCACAACATAGTAAATGTTTCATTAGTCGTGGGACAATAATAGGACGTCTATTATTTTCTAATTTTAGTCGATTGTCCAATGGATTGATACATGTAATCGATTTGTCGATATAAAACAGTTTAATGTCAGTACACTGTAAGCCGTTGGCTTGCTTAGGTTTTTCTACCACATTAGGTGGCTGATCGCCTAGCTTTTGAGTGTATTAACAGTAAATTGTTTTTGTGGCTTTATGATATGACGCGTAGGTTTACGATAATCGCGGGGGATTGCCAAGCTTATTGTAAGCCTCTCTCTCTTTTAGATTTGCGGTTAAATGGTGTTAGTTTGTGAGTGAGGATTTCTCCCAAGCTATTGTGTAAATAATACTTTATTGTTTTGTCGTAAGAAGTTCATTTACTATACGTTTGTCATAAATTGATTGTTGTTAAAATGTTGTTGGCATAATTGAAAATTGGAAGTATACTTAAATAAAACCTAGAATTGAGAATACATGTGCCCTATAAAACTTCGGGTCATCGATTACAGCTGCGTTATGTAAATGTGTATTTAAGTAGCATGTCAACTATCTCGTGCACCAATAAGGTGGATATGTGTTTTCACCTTCATGCACGGCCGTGCTGAGCGCGTGCGTCACGGTTCATTGCCTTGACTACGGAAAGAGATCCTAATATGGCGGGCGGCGCAGGCGCAGGATTGCCTTGCGCCGACGCAAACTGAACTCATTCCAAACAATCAGTCTATCAGAGCAGCACACACATGTAATAGATGAGATAAACAAAGAATTTTACCAAAAATGTGCTGTTCGTGGTTGAGATGTCGACGGCGGGTCGCCGACTCGACTGATAATAATGCTCCGATGGAAGCGTTTGAAAAGTCTGAAACGCCCGCTGAAGAGGCAACCGAGGAACAAGAAAAGGCAACCTCACGTAAGACCTGTTCCATACCGCACCAGTATAAAGCTCCTTATTTTGCGCATACGCTTTTTGCACATTTTTGGAGATTTTCTTTTCTTCAGTTCGCATCTAGATGTAAGGATTACGTCAGTATGATTCATGGATGTGCTAGGCATTGTTCAGACGAATATAGACAAAGTAATGTCTTTGTGCAAATTCGTTTTGTTGTTTTTATTTAAAAAAAGCATGTGTTCCGATTTTAAAATTACATTTAAGGCTAGTAGTTAATAGAGGATGATAAAGTTGACATGTGATCTGAATATATTTTGGTCCGAAGCCTTATAAAATGTTATGGCATAATAATTCCTCCGTTTGATTGAGACGGAGAATTAACACACGATTCAACAGTTCTGCATAACACAGGCCATTTGTATTGTATGCGAAATATCTGCATGCCATATATGAAAACGTGGGCGATAATGCCGTTAACGCAATGTTTCAAGCCTTATAGTGAGGCTTTCTTTTAATGTTTATTAATTGACTTTAAACAATTTTATTATTCGTGTTAAAGTATGCAATAAAGCTTTACAATAAGATTAATAAATCTTGGCTTTTAATTTTGTTTCAAGCAAAACCCGATGATTTTTTGTACCTGTTCTTGGTTTTCCTTAATGTGGGAATTAGCTGACATCATAATATCCTGATTCCGCTGTTTGATTGGTTCTTTTATTGTTCGCGACTTTCTGAGTTAATATCGAAACACCTTGTTGTTTACAGCAGCTCCGTCGAGGGTGACACGCAACAATCAGATGCGGTTGTCCAACGCGGCCGGTGCGTACACGAACGGTCACGGCGGCGACACGACGGGCCGGCGCGGCGCCGAGAACGTGCCGCCGCCACAACAACCGCCCCAGCCCACACCTACCAACACAAGGATCACGCAGCAGGTAAAGACCTATCTGGCGAGTGTGGAAAGTGTAATGCTATCTCGGTTTACTCCCATCGAGGGTTCCCTAACTTTTCTAATGAGGAGTTCGGAAGCATGGGTGTGAAACGTTTGAACGGTGACCCTATTCTATCCGAACCCTAAAACTTGGATAGATAAGAGCAGAGCTTTATGTTAGAGTAGCTGTTTGGTTTTTAATAATATGACAGATTTTTTCCTTTGAATCCTTTCCGCAAGCGTAATATTCCGCAGTCCTGTTCTATCGTACCGTCGACCCCATCCGTTTCAGCCGCCCCAGTCAGGCGGGCGGTCGCGGGCCGGCAGCACGCCCAGTGCCGCGTCCGTGCCGCAAGGCTTGCAGCAATCGCCCTACATGCCACACCTGCAGCGCAGGATGCACAATGTTAAAGAGGTCCTCATTGTCCTTTCCTTTCCTTCATCCATCCATCCATCCTTCATTCTTCATTCGTCCTTTGATATAGTTCTAATTTACCAGGATTGTTCGTGATATCTGTCAAGCTAAAACCATACGTAGTAGTAGGGGAGCCCATGATAGGAATAGGATTTTGGTAGAAATTCGAGCTCATAAAATATGGGAAATTTTTAGCATCCTGTTGAATAAACCTTCCGTATACTTAAAATAAATAAATGAAAGGGTCCCGTTTCTACCTCTTCAGTCTGTCAAACCTAATATGCAATTCGGTAGATTAAAATCCTACTAATATCATAGTTACATGGGTCTTAAACAATATCAAAGTCTGTCACGCCCGAGCACTATAATAAATGTTACACTTCACAGTTTTGAAGAAATATCGATGCCCCTTTTTCCTATCACCAAATCTTCGAAATCCTGTTGATCCTCTTGAGTGACTACAAACTTAGCATCCTGGGCTCCCCTACTATAGGTTCTTTTAGATCGCGTAGCATCCTAGACATAAAGTTATTTTGACTCACATCGTCACTAATACTGGTTAGTAATCATTCCATGATATGTATTGCTGGGTATTATTATTATTTATTTATCATTGCGTGTTTCAGTTCACGGCGAGTAGTGTAGCCGGGGGCGGGGCGGCGGCGCGGCCGGCGGGCGTGTCGTCCACGGTGTCGGTGCCGCACGCCGTGGCGTCCGGCGCCGTGCGACGCTCCAATGTAGTCAAGGAAGTCGAGCGGCTCAAGGAGAACAGGGAGAAGAGGCGACAACGACAGGCAGAGCTAAAGGAGGAAAAGGTAATAATTGGATAACTTCCAATGAGCTTGTTTCACAAATATATGATTTAAAAGGTTTATTTAACAATAACTTTGAAGTCACAATTCTAGTTAGCCCAAAAAACGAAACAAATTAAGATATCCATATCCATACAATGAGGTTTAGTAAATAAATTGTCTTTTATCAAAAGAGAAAAGATTTTAGATTATCCATAAGTTTTAAACTGTTCGTAAACTCCTCTTAAACTGTGGTATGCACGTACCTATATAAAATAATAAAAGCGAAACATAATGCTTTCTTATACCTATTGTGTCTCATATACGGCCGTAGATTAGTCAAGATGATAATGTTGTGCTGCAAATATTGCAATATGTAACTAAACGTTTGTACTCCAGGAAGCGTTAATGAACATGGACCCTGGCAATCCAAACTGGGAGTTTTTGGCAATGATTCGCGAGTATCAGAATAGTATCGAATTCCGGCCGCTGACGGGCAATGAACCTGTGGAGGACCATCAGATCACAGTCTGCGTCAGAAAGAGGCCGCTCAATAAAAAGGAGAACTTGAAAAAAGAGGTAAGATACATTTATAAAGAAGGTATGTTGTTTTATTTTATTGATAACTAGCAGACCGGCCTTGTTTCGCACGGGTGTCCGACTACACCGGGTCTCAGTTCAGCATTTGTTTTGCATGCGAACGGCCACGGCACGGAAAGAGTCGTTAATTCCCGCTATTCCCCTTTACGTTTCCAACGTTTTCTTTCGTAAGAACCTTCTCCTAACAATAACGAAAATAACATAAAAAGAATTGGCAAATTTGGCGCAGGCGTTATTGAGTTATGCGCTTATATATTTTTATATTGTAGAATAATAACTTACGCACGTGAATAAACTGAGAAAAGCTCTACTAGTTTCAAGTCACTACAGGACTCTTATTCATGAGTAGCGTGTGCGTTGCGGCGAGGTCGCGCAGCTAACTAGTCTGTTGTTTTGGTTTAGGCCATTTTGAGATTGACAAATTCAGACAAAAGTGTCGGAAAGGTCATTAAAATTAAATTCCAATTGACACTACACCCCTCTTATACAGTATTGTATTGGAAAAGCGTCTAAACTAACGTTGTTTTTATAATAACTATCGTGAGACATACTAAATTAACTAAAAATAGGCTGCGCTACGTCGCCGCGTCCGCGCACGCTGCTCATGAGGAAGAACCCCTCTGTGGTTCGAAACTAGTAGAGCTTTTCTTAATATATACACGTGAGTAACCCGCGATTTTTAGTTAATTTAAACTAACGTTGTTGAATTGTTATGTTTCTGTGGATGTAGTATGTGATAGTCAAGTACTTATTCAAAAAATCCAGCTTAGACCTAGCTGCTAAACTAGTTCTCTTTTAATAATTTATCTATTGATTGTTGTTAACATTTGTCCGTTTAACATTCCAGGTGGACGTAATCAGTGTACCGACGAAGGATCAGATGATAGTGCATGAGCCCAAGAACAAGGTGGACCTCACCAAGTACCTCGAGAACCAGAAGTTCCGTTTCGACTACGCTTTCGACGATTCCTGCACAAACGAAGTTGTCTACAAGTTAGTACTGTGTTCCAATATACTACTTCTTATAATATAACAAAATTCCTCTACTATTTCATGCAGGTTACTATACATCTTAGTATATGTATAAGGGATAAGAGGAAGGTGCCTTTCTCCTTCCTCTTCAATAAAAAATTAGTATCAAATCTGTTGCGTAGTTTTAAAAATTTGAGCATACATAGGGATGTCGGACCCAATAAAGCGACTTTGCTTTATACTATGTAGTGAAGAACGACCCCACTCTGCCATACTAAATGCTTAGGCTTTATTGGGACTATTTAGAAGATGGTTAATGTGGGGTTTGGGAAAAATTGGTCGAGCAATTCTTGATTTATTACGCATCTTAGCGTACCGGGCCGCTAGTTTTGATGTAAATATCCTGTAATGATCGGATTTTCAATTATCACACTTTCACTTGTTGTTCTATTGTAATGTAATGTCAGATAAGACAATTATATGTATCTCAATTAATATAAAGTCCTTAGATGTCTATCGAGACTTATTCCTGCCAATCATACACCCGTTACTGCACATAATGGTAAACACTATAATATAATGTTAAAACGTTGCCAGGTATACGGCTAAGCCGTTAGTGCAGACGATATTCGAGGGTGGCATGGCGACCTGCTTCGCCTACGGACAGACTGGCTCCGGCAAGACGCATACCATGGGTGGTGACTTCCAGGTATTATAACAAACAACCAATATGTTTTTGCGCTTACTTACAAGCATTGATGAACCCCTTATTTTTCTTATTTATACAATTTTCATAGTACCATATTTCTGTCAACTGCAAATGTTATTTAGAAGATAGCATACATATTCATATTGATCTTAGTTTTGTACATAAAACTTTGAATTTTTATTAATGTGTCATGGTTATTGTATAAAAAGATATATTACTGCGTTTCAGGGCAAAACACAAGACTGCAAGAAAGGTATATACGCAATGGCGGCGCGGGATGTGTTCGCGTATCTCAAGTCGCCTAAATACAAGCCATTGAATCTTATAGTGTCTGCCTCCTTCTTTGAAATATATTCTGGAAAGGTAAGTGAAACTTAGCAGGAAAAGATTTTAATTTATTAAAATAAGGAATAGGTGTAATCTGATTTGATTTTGTAAAATGTACATAGGATTTATTTTTGCTTTGATATTTGTGTAAGAAATATTTTTCACTATGCTAATGATGTGTATGTATGTGTGTTTGGTAGGTGTTTGACTTGTTGGCGGACAAAGCGAAGCTGCGTGTACTGGAGGACGGCAAGCAACAAGTGCAGATTGTGGGACTCACGGAGAAAGTCGTCGACAATGTCGACGAGGTGCTCAAACTCATACAGCATGGCAACGCCGCGCGGACCTCCGGACAGGTAAACTAAACTTACTGATACTTTAATGTGTAGAATATATTGTTTGATAAATGGAAACTATGAATACGGTGTGTTGTGTGTTGCAGACGTCAGCGAACTCGAACTCGTCGCGGTCGCACGCGGTGTTCCAGATCGTGGTGCGGTCGCCGGGCATGCACCGCGTGCACGGCAAGTTCTCGCTGATCGACCTCGCCGGCAACGAGCGCGGCGCCGACACCTCGTCCGCCAGCCGCCAGACGCGCATGGAGTCCGCAGAGATCAACAAGTCGCTGCTGGCGCTCAAGGAGTGCATCCGCGCGCTGGGCATGAAGGGGCAGAACCATCTCCCCTTCCGCGTCTCCAAGCTCACGCAGGTCTTGCGCGACTCCTTCATCGGGGACAAGTCCCGCACCTGCATGATCGCCATGATCTCGCCCGCCATGTCCTCCTGCGAGCACTCCCTCAACACGCTGCGGTACGCCGACCGAGTCAAGGAGCTGGGCAGCGCGGACCCGGCGCGGCGACAGGACGACGCTGATGTAGACATGGACCAGCCTCCCGCACATGATCTGGCACAGCTGAGGTCACTCAATGTAAGTCATTGTCTTGACTAGTTGTTCTCGTCTTAGGTACAACTTGATCGTTTACTTTATTTTGTGCTCAAATAATGACGACATAAATACCAAATTCAAAGTAAAATATCAATATTAATAATCGCCTGACATCTTACAATTCATTCAATTAAACATCTAAAAAACTACTTAGTTTTTTTGGTCTCTATCACTCCTTTATGAAAATCATTATTATATCACTAATTTAAACACAAATGATGAATGCTTTAGATTAGAGCAAAAAAAAAAAATTCAGGGTTACTCTTGATCAGTTTAATAAAGCAAATGTGTAAAAAGTTGAGATTATATCTACAGGAAGGCGACATGTCCGCGGAGATGTACACGTTCCACGAGGCCATCGACGAGATGCAGCGCGCGGAGGAGGAGGTCCTGGACAACCACAAGGCCATCTCCGACTACCTCCAGCATGCTCTGCAGCGCTGCAACCAACTGCTCGCCATCACCAGGGACGTCGACTACGACCAGGATGGTATGTACCGGCCATCGTCACTACCAAACATTTACTGTGTGTTGTGTTGAATTTAACGTGTTGTTTTCGTCATCAAAATTCTATAACTTTGTGAATAAGTAATGTAGTGATTGCAAATGAAGAATATTTTTATAAGAAGATTTAAAGTCTAAGTCAATTATTTTGGGACACAAAAGCTTGTGATAGCTTTTCCGTTCTCTCTTGCGCTTTGTATGTTAATGATAAAAAGGAAAAAGATTTTCTTTTTTATACCAGGGTCATAATTATGTCAACTGACTATTAGTCTATTAGAAGCGCATTACACGTAAACATTACGAGTTGCTTATTGAATGACATCTGGCTTGCGAGTCTGATTGCTTGCATATGCATGCATGCATGCATACCTGCCTGTGTGTCTGTCTGCATGTCTGGCGGCCTGCATGCATGTGTGTCAGGTTTCCCCTGCAGGGTACGGGACTGAATGGTTTTACAGGCATACAGGCCCGCGCCAAGCGGCTCCGGTACCTGGCCAGCGACCGCATTGGCACGCGACCCGCGCGACCGCGGCGACTCATAGGTTTGGGGGGACTCTTTAATACCGGTAGAGGCCGCGGCGCTATAATAATACTTCATACTTCCTCAACCGTCCACTACATCTCTCAACTCGATAGTTTCACACGAAAATACCAAAATATCGAACGAAATTCGAAAGCAAATTCACAGCACAAAGTTAAGAAAGCTGGCACGAGATAGCTGTTACCAACACATTTTTGTGTTTTAGCCCACAGACACTAGCTATATTTTTTTTCATGTTTATTATTTCATCTGATCAATGAATAATTACGAGTTGGACGTTAACTACAGTTTCACCGTAACACCGCGTCGTTCGCGCCAATGCTGACGTTCACAGGGATAATTGGTTTCGCTTCATCAAAATTCTGTTTTATTTTTGGTTGCAGATTTAAAACTATAATTTTAAAATATCTACTAATCCGAAACTGAACTTGCAATATGTTGATTTTTGCCGATAAAAGTCAATATATTCGAATAATAAACATTGAATCTTATCTACTTTCATTAAAATTTCAATTTGGTCTTGCTTTGAGCTCTATCGACTTCTTAATTTTTTACTAATAGAGTTAACAGTTAACACTCGACCAGTACGTAACAAAGGCTAATGTATCCCCCCTTCCTGCTCTGCAGCGTACGCGACGCAGTGGGAGGAGTTGCTGAACGAGCAGTTGGCAGTACTGGCGCAGTCGCGGGACCTGGTCGCAGAGTTCCGCGCCAAGATGCAGCAGGAGGAACACATCTCGCGCCGCATACAGCCGCCCCCGCGCCACCACTAGGGTCTGCCACACCCACTACTACTCCGGATCGTGTCTCATCATACTACTCATGGAACACCTGTCTAATGATCCATCTCCACCATCTCCGGATGGAGCATGCCATTTATTGAATACGTCGTGAGGTACCCTTCCCGTACCGAATGACTGGAATCGTCCACTAGGAGACAGGTCGCTACTACCGGCTTACTTGTTAGTATTACGACAAGGTACCTTTACAACAGACTGACCGCTAGTCGTTTCGTTTTCGCCTTCATTACAATAAAACATTAATTCCAAGATGCACCTTAATGTCTTGAATGCTCCTTAACAAAATGTACAAAGTGGATGATTTTGAAAGTCGGATAAAAATAGGAATTTTTGAGAGCGGAGCTTAGACAAGTTTTGTAAAAAGTTAAGAATCTCGTTGTTCACATATTAGGAAAGTCGAATTTTATTCCTTTGTCGTATCGACGGCGACGTTGCGTTAATACGCTCTAACCGCAGCCATAAGATGGCGGCCGGGCACGTGACAACTAGCGCCGACGTACAAATGACAGCGCATCTGTGTATAAAGCAATCAGTATTGAGATAAATTCAACGTTTGGTGACCGTGTGTAGCTGGCCTACTGTATAATCGCTTCAATTTTGATTTGCCTGCGTTTGGATACATGAGCGAGTTGTGACCACTCTGTTCGATATTATTGTAAAGCTTAGTATACCGAGGTATGTGCCGTCGTGTTGGAAACGAGAGACTGTTACTGTACTAGCGTAGTGTTTGAAGCACAAATGTTGGCCGGCGCCGGGACGCGAGGCTCCGTCGCGTGGCCCAGTGCGAAGCGGTGTCACACTACACGACCTGTTACGAGTATCGTTAGTAATACCTACATTTAGTTTCTGTAATACTTTATACAGTACTAAAGTCTACGTTGGTTGGATTCACTTATCGACAATATACGTAATTTGTGTTGAGATTTTGCCCTAACATTTAGTTGTATTATTATAGTTAACGCTGGTCGGTAAGTGAATTGATACCTTCGCGTACTAAAGATACAAAGTATGTGTTAGACATCGGTAGATACGTTTATCGATCGATACCTAACATGTAATCGAATCATGTAATTGTAAGGTGCGAGACATTACCCTATTAACGATAAGTCACTTATTCTGGATGCATTTAACTTTCGCTAAAGGCCTATTGTCGAACTGTAGATATTTTTATATACCGGGAGATTTGGAAGTACAAACGTGACAGTGAGGCGGACCCAGTGATTGTGATGTAGTTCCTCATTGGCGCGACTAGATGGCACCAGCGGGCACTCCGCACCCAGGCAAGCTACGGAATTTATACGCTAACACTCATCTGCTTCTTGTAACTGTAGCCTTGATTTTATTAGAATTGTGAGTCTAACTTCAATTTATTATGTTAGGGGTCGTTTTTTAGACCAAAACTGCGTTTATTTTGGAGCCGTTCTTAGAATAGAGGTGGAAGGCGCAGGTCACGTTCGTTTGTCGGAAGCCCTAGTTGCGCCAATGTTTTTAAACACGAATGTAACTAAAATTCTGTCCATTATATATTGTAGACCTGTAACTTGGTACCTTTTATTTTCACACTTGGCTGCGCTGGATTCAGCCAAGCGTTGTCGATTATTGGTAATAATGTTTTTGAGCCTTTACTATAGTACTTCAACTTGGCCTCTTGCCCATTAAGCCAAGATTGACAGCTTTGACGGATAAGTTACTGTGTTGCTGTGATTAGTTCTCATGACAAAATTGTTTATATGTAATGTGTTTGGCGTGACGAAGTACTCGAAATGTTGTGAAATACTTGTTTTAAAATTAGATATTTTGAATGAAAATGGTGAATTAATAATTTACGCATCGAACGAGGATCGTTTTTGTCTTGATCATGTAACAATTAGAAGCAGATAATTTATTGTATCATGAAACATGTAAAAGTTAATAAGTTATTTCTTTTCTACGAATCAACGAAGTAATTTACATAGGATTGAGACAAAACTGATCTTTAATATAATACATATAAAGTAAAATTTTGATTGGTAATGTATAAATGTTGAGTATCATGTGATTGGTTAACATATCTGTTGCATATAAAATGGCTTGTTATTCTCTCGTTGTGAACGCAACTAAAGCGACGTCCTGTTACAATGGTTACGATAGTATTTGTGTTTCAAGTGTATGTGTTAATGACAGACTATTGACAATGTGTTTAGTACGTTTTTTCACTATTTATGAGATTATTTCCTATGTGTATGCCTTAATGTTTATATTAAATATAACTAACATTCTTTTCAACTTAATTTTTCTTTTTTTTTTACGGGACGGGTGGTAAGTATTTCTTCTTCTTCTGGTGCTAAACAGCACTAAAGGAGTGACCAGAGCGTTGCCGGCCTTTTGAGGATAAGCCTTTTCGGATAATTAGTTATTGGGAAGGGATGGGGGTAGGGGGAGGGATTGGGCCTCCGGTAACCTCACTCACATGGCGACACACAACGCTGTATGTGTTTCTTTATTTCTCCAACTTTCTTCCATTATAATCTGCAGTTTCTATTTGTTTCTTGTGTTACTCTCGGACGACTGACTTATTTCCTGACTTGTACTCAATGACAGCCTAATCGACTGAAGATATCTACGTCATACTTTTTGGTTAGGATATTTATTTAGACAAGACTTGACTGTGACGGCGACCTCTTCGAAGGCGAGTTTGATTAATGTCTAATAAAATATAGATACGCGCACTTGAAACACGAGTATGCCACATATAATGTTATCATATGATCATAGTTCGGCTAGATGTGTAAAAAGGTTGTAATGTCGTAGTGGGCACCTGTAGGGGCAATATTCAGAGTTGTGAAACATTCCAAAACGTGAGATTATAACTTTAACACAATTTAGTCTAGAACAACATTCAATTTGATTGGAGAAAATGTAACATTATTCTAAAGGTTCAAAGTTCAAATTAAATTGGTTATTGGCGGTGGCATTTATGTTAAATTTTGTTCCAAAATATTCCCCACAGCTGTCCATTGTTAAGCTATATCTTTGAATATATTTTCAAAAGCGATCTTATGTTTTTCTTCATATATTGACTTTGAACATTGGCGTGACGAATGTAGCCATTTGTAAAAAATATCTAGTTGTATCATGTCTTGACGAAACATTTAAGATTTAATATATTGTTTTTATGAATCAGTATTTCAACTTTAATTTTTACATATAAACTGATAATTCCTACGTATGGTGCTTCAATTCGCTAGGCCTTCAACTTGGCATGGTATAACTGGATAGATGGCTGGCTAATGAGCTTGTTGCTCGTGCATAGTGCCGCATCCATAACACCGGGTCTCTTTTCCTTCTCTCAGCTTGTCAATGCTTTATTTAATAACTGCTCAGGTTTTTGCGCATAGGCAGTGATCTGACTCAGAATTAAGTGGGCGGGAGCAAAGCTCTCATTCGCATTTTTAAACGTGTCTTTTTCACATTTGTTTATTACTGTGGCTAGCTGGTCCTAAAGTGACACTGCAAGTATAGATAATTTATGTTGCTATGTTGCGTGCATTCTGCCACAGTTAGCGATGTGTTTTCTATCAATGATTGGACGACTAGCATGCTTAGGGCTGGTGAGATAAATTTCTATATGCAGATATTTACCACCTAACAGAAATATTGTAATTTATTATAATGACAACATCGTCCTTTAAAAATCGTAAAACTCTCATTTTTTTATTATTAATAAAAATAGTAAAACTACTTAAAGACTATATGTAATTATGTAAGTTTTTCAAGTCAGTACATTATAATACTTGATGTTTGTGTAATGGATTTATTTATTTTGTTGTAGTAGTACTTGCATACTTCGAGACTACACCGAGTGTAGGCCCGCGCCCTGCGCACACGCGGGGCTCCGCCCCTTCACGTGACGTCACGCCCGCTATCTTCCATTCTGGAATGGACGCTTGGTATTCCAATGATTATGTGTATCCATTAGTTTGATTGCGTTCATGTTATAACATGCTATGAATCATAGAATGGAATATAGTGTTGTGCGCTCCAATTATGCGTAAATTTTTCGTTTGTAATTTGACCTAATAACCACAATATATAATGTCTGCGAAATAATAAATAAACGTAACCCGAACGTGTTTTGTCGTTTAATATCTGCTCATCTGGTGCTAGATGTAGACTTTGCTTTTAACCTTAACCCCTAGGGTCCTTGAACGACATATTATGTTCGCTTTTATTTCAAGAAGATAACGTTAATTTGGTTTCTTTTTTGTCGTAAATGTTGCGGGGAGTCGTGGGCTGTGACCGCCACAGGACAGAATCGCTCGGATATTCAAAGTAAAATCTACAGTTATGTCATTAGGAGCTAGTTACAACTACTTCGGAAAATTGGTTTTGTAGCTTGAGTCCGGATTCCAAATTCCAAGTGACGGTGGTCTCTATTTACATGGATATTTAATTCGATTGTTGTGTGAATATGCGAGCGTATTCTTGCTGCCCACCCCCGCGTCTCGGCTCTGTCGCCCGTTCCGAGGAAACTATGTATACTGTAGCTTACAACATAATTAGATAGCGCTTATTAATAAATAATTAAAACAAATCGGCACTCTGTATCAGAGTGACTGCTGCGCCGATGTTTGATCGTACTGAACAAAATCTCTCTTACTATAATTATTATACTTTTTTTTTATTAATTGTAATTTCGTCGAGATTGTAACCGCGTTGGGATGAATTAGTTTTTGTATAGAAGTGTTTGGATAAATGAACAAGTGTTGAATGCTGGTGCGGCGTGTTCCCGCTCTAGTTGTCTAGTTAAATGCTTTATTATAAACTTTATTTTAACATCGCACATTATAATAAATTAATCAAAATTGATTTGGTGTTTTATTGTCATACAATTTCATCAAAATTACCCTTTCGACAAATTGAACGCGATAGAGTACCTATGTTGTGATGTGATTTGGGAAGAGACAGGTAAAAAATAAAACAAGGTATCAATTCAAAGTACTTAGTATTTATATTTTTAGAGCAACTTTGTACTGGTATCATGGAAATGCAAATAAATAGTCGCAAGTAAATACTGGAAGACAACACAAACTATACTAATTCAAGTACACAATCAAAACATACAATTATAATAATATAAACGCAACAACGTAGTTTTAGGAAGTATATCAACAATGAAACAGTTTATGGCAATAAGATTACTACATAGAATAGACATGTTCGCAGAGCAAATGGACCAAGCGTTTATATGATGTGAATCAGAGACTTTTGAGGGGAAAAAACTTCAAATAACTTCTCCGGTTGGGATGAGAGGGATTGATAAGACTCTTATTCATTGAAAACCATTGTGTTCCTTCTCTATTAATAAGGTTAACCTCATTGGTCCTTTGCATGTGTTTCAAATATGGTATCTTCAAATTATGTTTTTATTAAATTTGGGAAATCAAATCAAATTCTTAACACAATACATACAGAAATGATAAATAATATCTGTACAATTCAATTTTCATAAATAAGTCAATTGTGGCAGAAGTAATTAAAATTATATAAATACAATTTAGAATACCAGAAATAGCACGCAAGTGTTTCAACTTAAAGTTGAATTTTGTCTAATTCTACTTTATACAAGACAAACTAACAATTTGTCAACTACCGTTGTCTAATTCACTCGACAATTTGTGCAACACTAATTATTATTTTAGAAATAAATAAATAATGAAAAATATCACAGCACATACTTAGTGATGATTTTGAATTAAGTATTAAAATATTATTTTTAGGATGAACATTAATTTCAGTAGTAAACATCTATATATTTTATTTTTAATTTTTTGAGCACGAGTTGAGATTAATTTGCTTGAAATTATTTAACAACAACAAATGAAACAAACAGAAACAAACCATTATTTGAATTTACGGTTTTTCAAATAATCAAATAAAATAAATGCTGGTATTAGACCATACTCACGAATTCAGCATTTTTTATTACGTAGGAAATAAAATCGTTTATGGATCCATACATTTGTGGAAGCACTATTGTGGTTCTTGCGATAATAATCTCGAAAAGAAGTATATAACATCTCAACTCCTATGTAAAGGAATGCGGCGACCACTCAAATAAGACGATCTCTTTGGTTATTTTATACAAATTATTCTAATAAGTTCATTTATTCGTAGCCCAGATAATGGTGTTACAACGCAAATATTTCACGATATTTTGTAAAATATTTAAACATATTAAAAATCAATTTCTCAAAAAATAAAATCGAATCCAATTAAGTATCTAATAAGACATTGTACATACATACATTGATTTCGTACCATATAATACAGTTGTAGCGAGACCATAGGGCTACACAACTACCTGCCAGCAGGCATTCATTATTATGGAAGAAAACATTCCTACAATTAAGCTACAATTGAAATGCATCACATTTCATAATTAAGTGGTATTTACACAAAACGAATTATTATGTCAATAATTATAAACAAGGATACATGAAATAAAATTCGTCTAAAACCAAGTTGTAAAAGGCTGATCAATTAGGCGAAGTTATGATAAAATTGAGGTATCAAGGCTAAGACATTCCGAATTCATTAACCACTTCCAAAAAGAAAATATACCCTATGTGTCACATGCCTTAACTATATTATTGATCAGACTTCTAAACAAGACATTTAATTAATAAATACTATTATAACGAATCAACAGAGAAACACAACTCAATTGCCATTTAATTTTTTTATTGAGTAGTGTCATTTCTTTTTATACCTGATCCGTAGCCATCTTCGCAGTCACGTTCATAGCATATCCTCTTCAAACCCTTCGCCGGTAAGTATGTGCGGCTCGCCAATGGCGGGCACCATGTGTGAATACTCGCTCGTCGCCCATAGATACAAGTTTAGAGTCCGTTCCGTACATTGTGCAATGAACCTGTAAATGAGATTAGGATATGGCTAACACATAGAACCTATAGAGAACAACTTAAAGAGCAATGCTAGTGAAGAATTTAGGGTTTTCTCTCATCATTCAGTGTTCAATTTTAGTTTAAAGCAATAAACAATAAATAACAAATATTCAATATTATTTTACTATAACAATATAGATAACCAAAAAATGTGTATTTTTTGGTTATCTTAAAGTTACTGTGTTTGCATGTTTGTTACAAACACGCCAAAACAGCTGGATGTATCTGTGTTCTGTATGAAATTTGGCACAGGCATAGGATACACTCCAGAATAGGATATAGGCTACTATTCATCAACAAACCACGCGGGCAAAGCCTCAGGCGGAAGCTAGTATATAATATTTAAGAGATGTAAACATAGTCAAAAGTCATGTAAGATGGAATGTTTTTAATTTGAGTGAAAATAAGTGGTTGTATTGCAGGATTGAGCACAAGGTGCGTTTGCTCATAGTCTGGACATAATTATATGTAATTAAAGGAGGTAATGGCGGATGTTTGTGGGTATGTTGCATGACATACTATTGCCATTACCATACCATACCATTTGGTATTTTTGAAAGGAGCTGTAATTAAAGTTCTACTTTAATAATGCTCGTCATAATACAGGTAACAGGAAAAATAACTATTCTTTTAAATTTTAAATTTGTTTTGAAATCATCAAAATGCAAATCTATACTATGTATTATAAAGAGGTAAAATTTGTACTTGTATTTATAAGAGGCCTGTATGTAGGGTATGTAACCCTACATACAAACTTACAGGACTCTTTGGAACTGCTGGTCAGATTGCCAAAACTATTTCACTGATAGATAGCTACAGTGTTCCTGAGCTATGAGGCTATAAAACATCACGCTACGATCAAATAGAACTGAGAGCGGGTGCAAGCACGCAAAAGTAGCTAGTAATGTATCACGGAGTAAGAACAAAGAGGAGACGGCCTAAGCAACTCGGCCCTGTGACACAAGTCGGCCCTCACGTCATCAATGTGGGCGTGGCTTACGTCAGTGAAATGTGGTCGTTCGTCCTGTGCACAACTCCTATAAAATATTCATTTTACTCGTGACAGAAGAAAACAAAATGATGTCTTGTGTTTTATCTTGTAAAAAATACTATGATAAACGTTACGGTGCTATGGATGGCATCACTTTTCATGTATAAGTTATTTTATTCGTCATTTATTAAAATAGTTCTAGCAAAGTCTCTTATTGTCAGCGTTTCCAATTATCAATCTACGCGACACTAGATGTCGACACTGTGTATCATAGAAACAATTTTTTTATAGGTACGCATAGTTCAGTATTAGTATATTTTAATGATCGTTTGTATAGTAATTTGATCGACATGCATTCCTAAAGATCCTTTAATCGCCAAAATATTATTTATGTAACTTTTATATCATTTTATAAACAGACAGCCATCTATTGTCAAGTAGTAAAACATAAATAAAGAGAGGGTAGTAATTAGGAGTCAATTACTTTTTAAGGTTTATATCGTTGATTTATTTAAGTCGCGAATGGAATCACTCAAATTTAGCGCACCTCACCGCACGCTGTGAGTGCTAAATCTTAGTGCCTGAGTGTTTGAAACTGAACGACCTTATTTATACTTCTAAAGTTCCTCTTCGGTTTTTATTTCAACCCCAAATTAAGGGCATCAGGACTTGGATCATACAACTCAGATATGTATCGCCGGTAAGCCTATGAAATGCCCACAACATACTCTGTCCTTCGTACATATCATTCGTTCCATTGTTCGTTTATTTCGAAATATGTCGTCACATTAGGGCAGGTTTTGTTCGTTTTTCATGGTGAATAGTACCTATTACAGTCGTGAAGATAATTAGGATGTGTTATATATGGCATTTCGCATTAGGATGTGTTATATATGAAGAATCTGGCGGTATTATTAACTTTGGAATAGCATTTAACATACCACTAGTTAATTAGATGTAATGTTCGTTATCGTTCCAAAATATTGTTGAGTTATTGTTTTGTGTTTTTATGATCCAAAATATTGTTGAGGTAAAACCAGCGAATACGTAATGCAAATTAAGACGATTGCTGTTACATTATTAGAAGGTGGTAGGACCGCACACTCTTCATTAGCATTGCTATTGAATGTACAGGTGATTTAAAGTGCAAATTGTAATATTTCGAGAACTTCTGCTATGGCAAAAGTTTTGCAACTAACGTCAATTATTTTATGGGATGCACACATACAATGGCGAATAAAAAATCAATAGAAGTATTTAATCGAACCATGCAAAATTTACGCGGTACTCAACGGGTTTTTCGTGGTGCCCTGATATTGCTGTCAGGGGGCTTTCGTCAAACATTGCCTGTCATTCCTCGTCAGATCAACTCCTGCTGATGAAAAACCTGTTTGAAGTCATCAGTTATTTGGAGATATATACGAAAATTGACACTGAACTTTAGTAATAATGTGTATTCAGCTACGTAATGATGCAACTGCCCATGAGTTTTCAAAACAAGTATTAGAAACTAGCTTTTGCCCACGACTTTGTTCGCGTGGAATAGTGAATTCCTGTAGATTTTGGGTTTAAAAACTATCCTATGTCCTTTCTCTAGTTCCAAACTATATCTGTACCAAATTTCACTCAAATAGGTTCAGTAGTTTAGGCGTGACGAAAAGACAGAACATATCTAATAATAACACTCGTTATCACAAAGAACCAGTTATCAGCAGGGCATCAGCCTCTTTGTAGCATTGTATACGACTTTCTGCTTCTGGCTACGCCCGTAACGAAATAACCCCTGTTAAATGAAAAAGATGGTTTTGATAAATGTAGAATGATTCTCATTCACCAATAATAGATATTTTAGATATTTATTACTATTTCGATTAAAAAAATGCGTATCAAGATGATTCGCAAATGTATTTACAAAAAACTTTTTAAAACAACTCCGCGGTAAATTCTAAGTACGACCCTGTTGCGTTAGTGACATCTATTGTGAAATAGTTACATAACTACAAAAAGAAGTAAATTGAATGAGCGAGTAGTATTGCTATAGACCGGCAGATGGCAAATAGAAAGTGGGCGGAGTCTAATACCCCCTCACCCCGCAAAATATCACGCGGTGTTTCTTAGGGAAATCTTATTATGACATCTCCTCTTTGTTCTTACTCCGTGTAATGTATATTGATAAATATTAATTCTTTCTTAACTTTTTCATATTATATGTTTCAACTCACCTCACAAAAGGGCGTACATCACCCTCATTGGCAGTTTGTAGATGCTGATAGTAGAGATGTCTGTGTTGCTTGGCAATGATCACAGGTGGGTACCCAGCCTGCATCAGTAGCAGGTTCATGAGCAGTCTAGATGTGCGGCCATTTCCATCTATGAATGGATGAATGTGGACTAACTTGTAGTGGGCCAAGGCTGCATATCTGGAACATTAGTTATTATTCTATTAATATTGTTAGTTAGCAATTATTGAGGTGTTTTTAATTTCAAATATTGTATCTAATAGTTAAAAGCTGAGAATTGTAGTTGCTAGCTAGTTATAATTCATATGTAAATACCATAAATAAATACTATGCAACATGTAAAAAATGTGTGTATTATGAAAGTAAATAAAATATCATTACTGAGAAGTGAATGTCTTACTTTGAGTTTATTTTAGCAACTAGAAAATATTCATAACTGTTATGTGACACTCAATGTCACATAACAGTTACTTTTGAATACTTTGTAGTTGTTTACTTAATACAAAGATGCATAAATATCTATATCTTACCTGACAGGATGCAAGTCCAAGGCATCCTCAGAATTCAACCATTCTAGGAACTGAATCATGAGCCTCTGTATTTCTGAGGGTCCAGGAGGTATGTGGCCCCCAACATATACCTGTGTCCTTCTAAATTGGCCTCCTTCTATGGGGTCAACATGACCCAATACCCTTTTATGTATCTCTAAAATGTCACCCATTGTGATTGCTCGTAATCGGTACAACAATGTTGAATTTATATACTTCATTGCTGCATCTAGACCTAGGATTTCATTGTGCTCATCTATACTTTTTCCTGACACTGCTACTCTAGTTTCTAATACACTCCGAGTTTGTTGTAATGTCATGGTGTTTCCTTCAATAGCCACAGTGTGGTATATGTGCTGGAAATAAGCCTCTTTCTTAGCCCTCCGTAAAGCTGAGTTACTCTCTGGTATGGATGACAGTGCATCCCTTTTTTCGTCAATCTTCCTTAACATCTCTCTGTCTAAATTCTCAACAATGCTGGCTGTCCTCTGCCTGTTTTCTAATGCTCCAGTGTGCTCAGGATAATTTGTTAAAGCTAATGTATACAGCTGATCTGCTCTTACTATATCCTTCTTAGTGTCTTCTAGGAACTCTCCGTAGTGATTCAATATGTCTGCGTGTTTCGGTGATAGCGCAAATGCATGTTGAAATAATTTCAATGCTTTGTCATCTTTACCAACCTTTTTCATTTCCAATGCGGCATTTAAAGAAACAACTGCTTCTGCATCGCGAGTCTTGTCGTACGGTTTCCGTGGGGGAGGACTCGGAGACTCTTCAGGAATAGGCTCCAAATAGTTTCCGTACAAGCCATCTGGTATGGGTGCAAATGGTTTCGCGAATTTCGCTTCATGGTTTAACAATTTGTGCAGAGATATAACTACGGCAAGGGTACACACCACGCTTGATAAGATTACCACAGTTTTACACCTATCTACGATCATTTTTGTGTTAATTTTCAATTTGCAACCACACTTCATGTTTTCGGGTTCGTGAGGCCTACCTATAAACAACATAATTGCGCCGTTCACTGCACCATATGTTCTGTGATAAAATCTGTAGATTGACTGAAAATGATTTAAATTTCATCGTGTATTGCAATAATATTTCTAAACTCTAATAATAAAAAAACACGTAAGGTCACTGTTGACATTTTAATTTGACACAAGCTGTCAGAGATATGTTAAAAATTAAAGAGTGCTGTCATTACCATTGAATAAAACTAAACAGTCCTATACACTAAATAATGCACTCTTACACTTTGAGAACTTAATTTATAAAATCAATATTTAATCAATCATTATTCACAGAAAAATAAAATATTTTGAATTTTCTTTTCATTTCATTACAAAATTATTTGGGATTAGGTAACACAGAAATGACTTTGACAGCTACGTTCCAATACACACAGTATTTTTAAGTCTAGTTCAAAAGATCATATTCATTGGATACTTTTGCTGATGCTACGATTTCCACAGATTTTTATTATGTAATATTATTTATCGACGAAGACGAAGGGCGACCAAGGGGACTGTAAGACTTTTACTGACTTTCTTTGTGTTATAGGACCTGACTGATGGTAACTAATTAGCGCCGCCCATGGGAATCCGCAATAACGGAGGAGTTATGAGTACGTTGCCAACCCTTTGTGGATTAAGTTCATGGCTTGAAATCCACATCTCTAATGTGAATCTATCTCGAATGTGGATTTCAAGCCATGTGATTGGTGAATTGCGGCACAGCTCTTCTCCGCTCTGCTCCACTCCGCCTAAATGGAATTTCAGCCTTAGGGATTGGGGGAGGGAAAGGAGCCCTCGGGTATCCTCACTCACACAGCTGAAACACTTTGTTGTGATTGTTTCACGCCGATTTTCTGTAAGGCCGTGGGATCAATCAAGTCGAGCCAACCCAACCCATTCGCACTGAATGGGTTGGGTTCATGGCTCTCGCACACTTGAGTAGTTACCAACATTGATGTCCCGTATCTTACAAGGGCGTGAGGGTGCGCGAAATAAAATGGTCCTCAGCCCCCAGTCGTGACGGCCTATCCCAAAAGGCCCTACCTGCAGATGCACGGAGCAGTGAGGTCCCTTTCTCTGTCCGCAGCTTCCTTCTGCGACGCAGAAGGACACTACTCCATCCCAACAACAATCAGCAGCGAGTGACCGTCTCCTATTTCTGAAATTAAACACAACGTGGTTCAACCCACGTTACGCACTCCACGTACATGTGCCACGCTGTGTCCTCTTCACAATACATGCAGTAATGGCACCTATCTGGCTCCCTGTCTAACGACACAGTAACTTGCCTTAGCACCGATGCCCCGAAGGTATCTGCGTCACGCGAAATAACAGAGTCGTGCCTTCTTCCGAGCCAGTATGAAGTATTGGCCGGATTGCCTCGATGGTGATGAGGCCAACAGTAAGACGTGGAAGCCTCTTCGCCATGCCACCACTAACACCTGACAAATCTCTGACCGACGCAATTCTATTTGCCATTGCACCAGTCAGACACCCCCTTCTCTCTTTTCTTCACGCCACCAATTAAGCGACGCAATTACCTTCGCCTTTTACATTTTACATCCATACGCCATTAAACCTTCCTTGGCGTATGGATACCTCCAGGATATCGTGCGATAGCCCCTTATGACCCTAATGCTCATCGCCCTTTGCGGTTTTTTTAGAATTGTGACGGTGTTAGCCGTAGATTTATGTAATATATGCTAAACTATATCTACCGATACCGAACAAGTGGTCTCTAGGTTTCGTGTTAGATTTATATGGGTCGAAAAAAATAGGGACTAATTTCTGAGTTTTCTTTAGCAGGTAAGTAGAAATAGGTACTGAATAGCGTAGCATTATATGTAGGTAATTGTATGATTTACTACATACCTTATCGGTGAAAAGTGCTTAGGTAGGTACCAACTAGTGTGTTATGTGTTATAATACATACAGTACGGCCGACGTATCTTGGCGAGTCCGAAGTTAGCCGTTTGTCTGCGCAATGGATCTTTTAGGAACAAAATTGTGTACGCAGCTAATCGGCTACCTTCAGACTCGCCAAGATACGTTGACGGTGTTGTATTTATGTTTATGATGGCCGTACAAAATTATTGCGATTAATTTGTGGCCATCTACGCTTAGTAAAAGAATAAGGCAAAATGTTTCAATTGATACTTGAAATATAGATTTTTTTTCTATGACACAAATTCAATTCAGTAATTTATCAATATTTTTTTGCGTTGCCCTAGTGGGATGTAGATCGCTGGGATCATAATAAAAGGAATTTAAGTAGTTTAAATTCAAATAAATAACACAGTCATAATTCATAATAATCATTTATTTATTTTAATTTTAATACTTTTTTCGTTCTCTCACGGCTCAAATAAATAATAATTCCACATAAACACTCAGATCATTTATGAATAATAAGTAAACAATAATCACTAACAAGTATTCACATGATTTGATTAAATAAATTTATCACTAACTAAACTTAGTCAATATAAAATTACATTACTTAGAACTAACTTAACAAACCCTCTGCCAATAAGGCATAAGCTGCTTGACGGTTAAAAGTAATCATTTAATCATGTTCAATGGATATTGACTTGATTAAATGCAATACTATTAAGCCCAGGTTTAATCAATGCGCGATACAATAAAATGGGCATTTTATGATCGCGCGTAAGTTGCTGACTAGACAATCGAGTCACAACGATAAAACATCGGGAACATCGTCGCTACTGGCAAGTTCTGAAGACACATCAAACATTTCTTCGAACGCTCGTAGCGCTCTGCTACAACCGATTTTGATTTGACACCAAAAACGTCGTAAAGGTTGCGTGCTCGTAACTTCCTGCGTTGAAGGAGCATTTCCACGATTCCGTGCCGCAAAATGCGTTGGCGAGAGTCTATACTACTTATCACTACACTTAGCGCTATACTATGGCAGTATTGCAGGAAATTAGAGAGCATACAACATGAGTTTCATAATATCAAGCAGCTTAGTGGGCTCGCTGCCTCACACGTCTAACCGATGGAGCGGCACTGCTAACGATTGGCAAGATTAATTTGTAGATAGTGCTATCCATACTGTTAGTTCCTGGCAAGTTATAAATTAATTTTCTATAAATTCGATATCATAATATCAAGCCTATTTCCTTACAACCGTTTATTTGCTCCTCAAATAACTCGGAAAAGGCTCGTCTTAATATCTTAATACTATAAACGCGCGTATAGTCGCGCCTGCTTCAGAGACTTACACTAATTATATAATTTGGAACGATTCTCTCACAACGTTTCTCTGGGAAACAATTCGTGCGACCAGCGCCTGACACTCCAACATCCCCCTCGAGTCACTCCCTACAGCATAATACTTTGATTATAGAAGCGTACACAGTGAAGCCAGACTTCACAGCCTGAATTGGAACTAGGACAGTAATGCATTTGTGAAACGATCCTTACATTGTTATCGGTGGTACCATGCTATGTAAACTTTGATTTAGATTAACAATATCCACTAAACACTAAGACTCGTGATCTATTGCATTTGTATTTTACTTACAAAAGATATCCTTCCATTCAAACAGAAAATACTTAATCTAGTCTGAATACAAATCGATTAGTAACAATAACATTTCCTACTTGTTAAATAAATTCAAACAAAATCGGTAGCCGACGATTAATATGGTAAACAACTCGTGAAATTCAAATCCCTTAAATAATTTAAAATTTACACAGCATGCCAACGGGACTGTTTGATTGTTTTCTTCTCCATTCGTTTGTTGTTTAGTCGATTAACGGCACATGGAGTCGACTATGATCATGGTGGAGTATAATGAGCAGCCGAGGGCGATCATGGTGCCCATGGCTATACTTGAGTGGTAGGCCCTGAAGGTCTTCAGGACACGAAGGTAGCGGGGACAGTGTGCGAGTTCACCTAGGATTAGGCGACCGACCTGTAACATCGAAAATACACGAATTAGCTAACCATTCAAAATTAAATGTTTGCGCATTGTTCAAGGAATTTAATAAGGAAGTATAACTTTAATTACTCAGATGTTTAATTAATCAAGTACTACTTCATATCACATTCGTTTTATGATATAATCATTAAACCTACTTATTGAGTTTGACATTGAACGTAGAGTGTGTCGCCTACAATGAAGTACCCAGCAATTATTGCTACAAGCTCAAAGAGCTGTAATAGTAAAATTGTTGCTACACATCACACCTAGTCGTTTTCTATTATTTTTACGACGTAGGCGATTATCATACAGGTACTCCTCAATATTGTACGGAGCACGTCCACGTGCATATGATTCACTGGCTTAACAAGTAGGTAGGCATCAAGTTACCGAGCCATGTTGTCAGGTGAAATATTCCCTGACTTTAAATTTGAATTTCGAACGGAATTTGATGACCGTTGCAGATTTAACTGATTTAGCTTCGTGTTGTTTTTCCATTGATTATTTTGCTCAAGATCGATGTTCTATTTGACATATTTTTTATTAGTTTTTGTGTATTTTGTAAAAATAATGTATGCTCACCTCTTGTCCGCCACCGGCTGCTTCCTCCATCTGTGTTTTGACATGCTTGGCGCGCAGCATGGGTCGGACCAGCTGTAGGCGCACGAAGGATTCAATACTGAATACTGCTAGCAGAAGTGCTAGCTGAAACAATTAGAAAAAAACATCATTAGTATTTTAACGTTTATGAAAAAAGGTAATAAGGGCTCTGGGATAAACAGCTTGTCTTTATTAAGAACCTCGTCTAGAAAGTTCCATAGGTAAGTGTGTTGTTTCTACATTAATTTTTCGCAAAATAATTCCACTACACATTGACCTTAGTTGTCAAAGTTATCTGTGTTACCGATCTACTTTCTCACTTCCGGTTCCGACAATAAAATAACAATTATTAATTTATAATCTGTTTTATCCAGATCGAGTTAATCCGTTGTTAACCTTTTCGTTCAACCTTGCATTTACTTAAGATTACACAGTACTTTTTATATTTAATCGAGCGACTGAAAAAAAGGAGCGTAAAACTTGGTACCAAGGCTTTTTACCGTCTCTCTAAGTAAATTCATAAATAATATATTCGATACTAATGTAATTATTTATATTGAAAGCTTTGCAGAATATTCAATAGTGCATTTGAAAAATACATTTTAATTTCGACACGTGTGATTTCATCCATCATAATATCTATAATTGAGTGTTCATATGTTTCTTTATTACTTACATTATTATTTCTAATCACGCTACAGTTAGTTATTTCATAGATAATTTGGTATAAAAACATAATTGCCTCATCCCTTTGTGGTTCATTAGAACTATCATTAATCATGACTTTGGACAAAGGTCGTGAGAATTTGTACCACCACACCGAATTTGTGACCAGTTAAGTTAATATTTGATCAATTAGGTACTATTCCCTGACATTTAATACCTAATAAGTAATACATACATATTAAAAAAATAGTTAATGCTTAAATTGCAAAATTCTTGTGTTGACACGAATAAAAATTTCGTTTCTTTTTTTATTTGACTTCTAAAAAGAACACGTTTCTCAATTCAACCGTATTTTGTTAACGTTGCTCTTTTAATAAGTAGCTAAGTAATCATCATTAGGTAATAAAACTTATATCATCAATTAAAGAGGTCAGAAAATTTTGCTTACATTAAAATTCGCATTATATTCTTCACAATAAATGTACCTATGTGAATTAAACTTAAAATATGGTAACTGCAGTGTCTGCAAAGCCTAGGTTCGAGTCTACCACATTTTAAGGCTGTAGGTATAGAACATTCTAGGCCTCCCATTATTACAAATGAAATGTAAATAAATTGATAGGAGGGCTCAATAAATCCTTATAATTGATAGAATGTGTGAAGACTCCTCTCAAGATAACGGGTCGTACATTTAATCATATGATTTATACTTGGTACAGACTACAGAACATAAGTTCTTATGGAGCTAATTGGAATCAGTTATGAAGTTGATTGCTACTACGAATGGGGAATCAATTCCAGTATTTATTGCTAGTAAAACATCTGATAGTTGGTGGAAGTTTTCTTGTGTTACGGCCCAAAGGTAGTAAAATTCCACATGTGTTTTTATTTGCGGAAAGCTGGAAAATTTTCAGTTTTATGATGGGCCACTTTTAATGATTCTTTTCGAGCAACCGATTGGAATGTTGGCTCCAAATATTTGACATGTTACTTTATAAGCTGCGTGATAAGCACATTATCAAAATTGGAATAAGGTATTGTAATGTTATTTTTTTCATATTAGGTACTTAATTTAACTTACCAGGCCAACTTTTACTTCTTAAACACGTAAAATGACGTACAATCAGAACAACAAAACTTTAATTAGTGTCAATGACAATCAGTCAAGTGCAAACTGCATTGGCGCCATATAATGTACGCCTATATGATTATTTACTTAACGTTATATGTTTAAGCTTGTTGTTTAATACGACTTGTGACCTTTTGCATATGTGTTAATAACACTTAGGTAAAACTCAGAGCTGCATAAGTATGTGCTAATTTGTAATGCAATTGAGAATCAAAAATCAGTAGAAGCAAACAAAATGTTTTGCCATTTTATTCAATTATCTGTAAAGTTTGTATGTTTGTTTGTTAGTCTATTTTTTGAGGAAGGCTATAGGGTATAAAGCATCACGCTACGTTGTGTAGGAGCCGAGCAGCGGGTGAAACCGCGTGAGAGAAGCTATCCTTCCTATATGTATATTATATTACTACGTTTCCTTTTTATATTACCTACAAAGAGATTTTTACTTTGTCATTGGCCAAAGCCAATTTTAATAGGTAACCTAACTTGATACGTTAAGATCAGTGACAAAAAAGATTAGTTTTAATTTGTCAATTTCATATTACGCAGGAGGAAGATATAAAATGCATGGAGATGTACTCCATGCATTTTATATTTCAACGAAAAGAAGTATTGATTGACAATGAGACAGACCAATAAACACCGAACTGCTTTCTAAGACCGAAGTTTCAAAGTATGTGGCCTGTCAATCGTATAATTGATAAGTATAATTTGGCATTCATATTTCTTTAATTAAAAAGGTTTTGATGCTCACCTGTACCCAAGAAGTGTGTTCAAAATGCGTGAGGCACTGCGTCCTGTAGTAGGCGATCAGTGCCAACAGGCTGATGACCGCGTTGAAGGCGTAGTACACGGGGAACAGAACTGTTTGCACTCGACCAAACTCGTGTCGCGGCAGGTTGAAGTAAAGGACTATACCTGTGGAGAGAATAATATTATTAATATTTAGTTTAGATATACGGAAATGTGAACTTAAACGTCTGTCTTAAGTTCTATGAAAGACAAAAGAAAATAAATGTCTGATGTCGAACACCAAACACCAAGCGAACGCCGGCGTTCGCTCACACATTGAAAAGTTTAATAACGTTTATCATTAGTACTAGTTTCATGTCTGTCAATCTATTTATCTATGTATAACGAAAGCTACGTTAAATTTCGATAAGCCCAATTGCAGACAGTCGGGAAAACACCCAACAAGCAAATTTTAAATACAATTTTCCTCGAACTAAAAAATGGCTATGCTATCAATATCTTTTAGTGTTGTCTTATCTAGAAAGGTATTATGATTGATGATACAGGCTAAAGTAGAGTGAAAGTACTCATCCACTCAGTTTAGGAGTAGATACGTCACTTTGTAATAAATGTTACATGTGATTCCTGCGTGTTAAGAATCTATGGTTTCTTTGTAACACTTTAGACTTTTCACGGACTTATCTTCATTGGATTTTACACTTTCTTGTGTTGCAGTAAAGTAGAATGTCTATTGGAGATATCTGCCAGTGTGGGGTAACCTTCATGTCAGCGAAGTCATCAAATATTTGCCCCTATGCGGTAGTCAACCTTTGTGGCCCTGAATGCGGTTGACGCTCCGTCCATTGTCAGAAGCACACAAAGTTATACCAAGCTATTTGTTACATTTTTAGTTTTATTGTTTTCGTAATAAAGTTGAAAATGAAATGAAGTACTGTAGCTCTACATGCTGTTGTATATGGCTATGTCTCAGTGACTGGAGATAAGTCATAAAAGATTTGCAACTCGTGATCTTTTGCGTCAATTTGAGTTTTTAGTATTTTCGCATTAGATTTATTGACAGTATGACATTTACTTTCTCTTGATAAACATTCTTTATTTCGGATGAAATACCACTCTAGAGCGATGTTTCAAGGAGTTTTTGTTAAGACACCTAAATGTCACTTATCGTATTGAAAACATGGACCTTTCACTAGAGGACAGACCGACAGACACACGCAAAGTGGAACTTTTTCATTTTATTTAGTTTGAAGTTCAAAACTGCGTATACTTGGTGGTCTATTTAAAATAAATGATTTGCATTTGACTTTGACTTTAGTATAAAGTGGCAGTATCATGAGAGAACTTACTAAAGAGAAACTAAGCGATAGTAAAACACTAAGTTTCTTGTGTTCGCTCAATTTTCAACACCTACCAAAATTGTAATCCTCAAAATAAACTAAGTTTTTCACGAAATTTTGCTGGAGTCGTTAGTTCTAATATAAAATTTTACTTAGTAATCAAAAGTATACACTATTGATATGACTAGGTACTAGGAACAAACACCAAAGGTCGATTCATTTAAAGGCAGGTACTGCGACCCGGAATGACCCGCGAATCCTAGTTGAGTATTAGCGTATCCATCGCTCATAATGTCATTTTAAATTGTTTAACTCAGAGGATGTTGACTGATTCAAACTAAACGGACCAATTCATATTAAATTGTTTTGATTTGATATTCCGTTTGATCACGTTACGTTTGTACCTACTTTTTTGATATGTTATTTATTAAGAAAAACCTGTAAGTTTTCGGAATAAAAAAAATATGAATTACCCACTATGACAAGAAGATCGGTAGGTACTAAAAAGATACTTTCGAATAGAAATGTAAGTTTTAAAAGTTAATAAAATAAGTACTTATGAATTTAAAATAGTTGAAAGTCGTTAATATTTTAGGTACTCCTTTAAAACAAGTCTTTGTGCTGTATAAATAATATCTCTACTCCTTTATTACTTTACTCTTTGTAATATCTTGTTGCACATTTGTGAAGTGTCAAGAGCAAGAGCTGTCAATTACGACCGCCATTGTTGCAAGCAACGGTATGTTGTTCATTATGCCGGTTTTTATTTTCTGACGCTATGGGCAAAGCAGAACTTTTTAAAGATTTCTTGAAAGGAATTCTCAAAACCATTACAGATTTGTTATCATATAATTATAATAGTGTGTTTTACCGAACTGGTTTGCTTTAAATTGAAAAGGATTTTCTGGTTTTCGCTTAAGTAAGTTCTTTTTGTATGTAAAGAACGGTAACTCAAGTCTGAATTCATGCAATATCAATTAGTTCTCATTACGCAATTACTTAATTATTTATCGTAAGAGCAGTGGAATCTCGTTTACGAACAGGAAAGCTTGAAACAAATGAATTTCGGACTTAAAAATCGGAGACTAAAGTTTCAAATTGCTTTGAATGGATCAGGTTGTACACTTTTTTGTATCAAGTCGTTAAAATCCTTTCAGTATAATTTGTATGGATCCTATATTTTTAAGGAATTTGAACTGCAAATTAGGACCACCATAGTTACACGGATGTTATAGTAAATGACACTCGAAAAATCTAATCTTAGTGGTATCTAGTTAGGTTACGTTTATTGTCTAAATGACCTGTAATTTATTTGATGAGGAACAATGTTGCTGTAATTATCCAAAATTGTAATGATTCTAAATTTTATATCCTACCTCTTTTATACTAACTCTTTTATATCCTATTAAGGTTGCCCTTGTTATTACCTTCAAACGGAAAACGGAGTACAAACTTATTATCTGCATCGGCAAAAACGTTTTTACATTTGATAATGGAATTTTTGTAGACAACATTTGAATTTGAGTAATGCGTTTTGAAAATAGATTCAAATTGACAGGATTTTTTTATAACAATACCTGCCTTATACGTCATGAGAACAAGTCCATTGACATTACAACAGCCAGCAAATGATTACTGGCTGATGTAATAATAAAACAAAAAGGTATGACAACAATGGTAAACACAAAATATAAAGCATAACAATAAATTCTTCTTTCTACACGTGTACAGCGAAATGGCTAGAATTACGACATACATACGTGCACAACTATTTTATGTATTTTTAATGAAGCGCTAAGTTATTAATTCGTGTCAAATCAGTCTGCTTGTGACCACGACCTGTGCAACCGGGTCGAAACGTCAAGCCTACCAAGGTATTCAAATTATAATTTTCCGCGTTAATACCCGCGTAAATATAATGTTCTTAAGATGAAACGCGAAAGTTTAAAAGTTATTAATTCGTGTTCGTGAATCGTTTGTTTAAACTTAATTTTAATCAATCAAATCTTTATTACGTAACAGTTTATGTACATATTGGGACTGTATAATGTACATAAGAATTTAAATAAGTAGGTTCCTACAATATTATGGTATAGTTGTACAAGCTAGCATTGCACATAGTAGCTATTTAAATTACTTATATAACCACTTAGAACGTTATCGAATGAAACCCCAAACGAATCAAACAGTTCCGCCTTCTTCAAATACAACCTTTTTTCATAAAAACTGGTGTTTCTCAACGACAAGCCGGTAACTTTTTATTGGGCTCTCGTTCCTTCACGTTCGTAATACGTAATGTGCGCGCATGATAGACTTCTTCGAAATTCGAACCAACAAGTTTCTGAACTTCAATTTTGTAATGAAAAAAGAAATAATATTTCTTTTATATAAATTCCTACTTGTATAAATGATAGTGTTCGGGTTTTGATTGTTAAAACAGGACTTTGGTTTAAGACCTAGACCCAAAGACTAAATTAACAGACATTTCTTGGCACTCTCTGTCTTTTTTCAGTAAGCTTTGAATGAGTAAGGGCATATTTTTAGAAAACCTAAAATAAAGGAACGTTGTTAAGTAACTTTTGGCAATCAATGTCGCTTTGCATTTGTGTTTTATATTCACATTTGTTTTTAACGTTTAGAATGTCCAAGAATAACACGCATGCATTTTTAAGATCTGGTTCTGGATAAAACAGAAAGAGATCTGAGGTTCCTCCTGCTTTCCAAAAAGTCGTCATCGATTTTGTTCCTGATACCTCAGATGTTAAGGTTTCTTCAGTCTTTTGCTTACCATCAGTTGCATTATAAAAAATAAAGAAAGTAATCTTACCCGAGACCAGGGTCATCCAGACTTGTGCTCCGAAGTGTGTCGCGACTGATGCTACGTAGAGTGCTCTCCAGCCGCGGATGGTGCTCATGGAACCATTGCCCGGTCGGCTGAGCCATGCTAGAAGGACCACCACGGCAAGGGCCACGTGGAAAGGCTGCGTCGTTTTAGTGGCGATACTGTTGACAAGGAAAAAGAAGATTTAGGATATATATCATCCAATTATTTAATCTTTCAATTGTGATAGTTCGAGAAATATAGATTATATAGATATAGATTTATTGGCTCAGCGTGCGCTTGGGTATGTTGAATTCCTAACAAAAACTAATTAAGGGTTTGTTAATTAATAACATTTAATCTTATGTTTGAATTCATGTTTGCTAGTTTTCCTATCAGTGTATAAATAGTAAGTAAATTTTGTAAAAAAATAGGTTGTAGTTACAATTAATTATACAATTTTACACATTTCTTTTTTTTGGTTTACATAAGACTATTAGTAAGTATAAGTAAATGAAAATAGTGGAATAACGATGATTTTATTCGCATAATTGAAAAACATAGGTAATTCTTATGAATGTCTAAAGTGGTTCTTCTACCATTCTATCTTTAATTATAAATTATAAATCGACCTGGCTCCGAATAAAATCGACTAATAACATTATTGAATGTTTGCTAACCGTCTAATCAAAGTGTTGTAGTTTCATAACTATACAAGGTTGTTACTAACTGTCAGTCGACGATAATAGTATGTGCTAGGTACAGCTACACAGGTACTTTGCGACCTCATTATCAAAACCTTATTGCTAACAACATGGATTTTTAACCGACTTAGATTGAATGTGTAAATAAACAAGTTATGATTATTTAAATCATAACGCGTACAATGCATTTAAAATTACTGTAAAATTTTCTCCAATTAGTTCTTTTTTAATTTTTCTTCTCTAAATTTTCTCAAAGTTGCCACGTGAGAAAATTATCAAAAGGCAATATGCAGCGGTAGGTTATCGTAATCGATTTGCACACGTGACCTAAGCAAAAACAATGGTGCTATGAAAATTTAATTTATACCAGTCACTGTTTTCACGTTTAAAAAAAAATACAAAACTGCGTGACTTTTACTTACTCGTGCCGAAAAAAAAAAAACAGTATTTTTATTAATTTTACATTATTATAACTAGGTTGGGCAATTTTCTTTGACTCCATTATTATTAAGTATACTTTTGCAAGATTTTCCTTATATTTAGAAATCGTTTGTTCAAATTAGTATCAATAACGACGAAATATTTAGCACTTCACAACTAAGTTAAATAATCAGATCTACAAATAGAATTCGTATGCACGATAATTATTTTGTAAATAAGAAAGTAGTAGATATTATACTACTTATATTGAACCAGATAAATATATATTTATTGAATAACCGCGAAATTTGTAGACGGTAATCTCTTCTAATAATAAAGACGAGTGAAGCAAGATTTTTTAAAGTTATGAAAATTAAGGTATTTTTTCGAATACGAAGATAACTAAGTAATAATAAAGGTAAGTTATTATTATTTTTAATAGAGAAAATGCATTTTATAATTTCCCTCTTCGAAAAAACGTCAGTATAAAAACCTAATTCGCTGCATTTCAACTTATGCATATATATCAAGATGCATTTCCTCAAAGCACATGTGTTTAGTTCAACCGTGATGAAGTCGGGCGATTTCAGTACTAATTGTGATAATTATGACGTCACACTCGATAGTATCACGACAAATAAACATTTGCATACATTATCACGTAGTAAAGTAAATATCGAATACAAAACAACGGTAAAATGTATGGAATGGAAAATTAACTAATTTAATTTAAAGGCATTTCAGAATAGATTTAAATTAAATTAATCTAGAACGCGCTTGCAATGCACACATACAAATTGCAAATAAATGTCGTCACTTTTTTTCGTTGCCATAGATAAGCAACTTAATTGTCTATTTTTGTAATAGGTAGGTACCTAGGGCACAAATCGCAGACTATGTGTAAAGTATAAAGTATTTTATTTTTATTTTTTTCAAGAACTACTTTTTAATACATAATTAACTTGGATTTATTTTTTGCATTGAAACTGATAAATTAAGAGTCATTTAGATTATCGTATAACTTTATCTTACTTCTGTGTTAGTCCTTGATGTAAATTAATTTCGTTAAACATGGCACTCGTAAAACCGTGTTACTTAATTCAATTATAATCTGTAGGAATTATTGCTACCATTAATTAAGAAATACCGACGTTACTTTCACACTTCATTTTGCTCATTATAATTTAGCAAAATAAATAAAAACAGTCGTATTTATTTTGCTTTGGCGGAAGTTCTTTAAGAATAGATTTAAAAGAAAATATACGCCAGTGGCCAGATGTCAAAATATTATTGATACTTTGACAAAATAGGCTGAGATAATATCTAAACCTTCTTGGAAAAATAAACAACTTTGTTTTCTGTTATTAAAATTTCCAGTGTTCTAGCCAAATAGCTAGGTAAGTATTTGCGCCCTAAAACATAAAATAACAAACGATATTTATTTGTGAAGTGACAACAAAAATATTTTACGATAAACTTGTTGCTAAAATCTTGTGATTTGGCGGTACGCCACTTCACAGTACGACTTTGATATTTTTACCCGAATACGTTGTAAAGTCAATAAATATATGTGTTTATTTTGCAGGTATATTATTACTAATTGTATTTAAAGGTTACTTAAAATGGGTTTAAAATATAACTGTACCTGACGGATGTCTTCTGCAGCTAATTTGTCTTTATATTAAATCTTTTTGGAATGGACTATGGTTAAAAATGAAATGTGTAAAAAATTGTGATAGGAGCTAGACGTTGGATCTACCTTTTTCATATCACCTTTCGGGACTATTATGGTAAATAGTGAGACGTATAAACACTTAATATTAAATATGAGATGTTACAAAATGTTTTTGCGCAGTTTCTTTTTTATATCATAGACCTCTTTCTTTTACTCTATCACTGGCCATTACACATCGTAATATCAGCGTGACGTTTATTGTCATTATCTTTAATCGATTAGGAATTAACGGTTGCCGACGTGCCTCCACCCACGTGCGTACTTTTAATTAGTACAACCATATGTAGAACTTGTCATTAATTCTAATGAACGTTTCCATTTGAATATTTTTAAATGTTTTGACGGTTGACGGATGGCGGGACGTCTTTTTGCACGCTTGTCAATGATGATAATAATATTTAATGTTTAGAAATTGATTATATTGGGCAGCGTATAGGAAACTCAGTCGGGTATTCTCGTCAAAGATACCGCAAAGCCTGAAGACAAAAGTCTTCAATGAGTGCGTCCTACCAGTGATGACATACGGAGCCGAGACGTGGACACTTACAGTGCGACTGATCCACCAATTTAAAGTCGCTCAGCGAGCTATGGAAAGGGCTATGCTTGGAGTCTCTCTGAAGGATCGTATTCGAAACGAGGTGATCCGACAGAGAACTAAGGTTATCGACATAGCCCAAAGGATTAGCAAACTTAAGTGGCAGTGGGCAGGTCACATCTGTCGAAGAACCGATGACCGATGGAGTAAACGTGTTCTAGAGTGGAGACCACGTCTAGGCAAACGTAGTGTAGGGCGCCCTCCAGCTAGGTGGACTGACGACATCCGCAGGGTGGCTGGCAGTGGTTGGATGAGAAGAGCTGAACATCGAGCTCAGTGGCGTGCAATTGGGGAGGCCTATGTCCAGCAGTGGACGACAACAGGCTGATGATGATGATGAGAAATTGATTTGTTTTCGAAGCTTACACAGATTATGTCAGTTAGGTTTGAATTAGTGTCTGACATTATCTATACCTTTGTTAAATAACATTTTCATAAAAAACCGTAACAATTTCCGCCAACCCATTTTGTTTGCTTATTCAGATTATTTTGATTAGGTATTGTTTTGTTTTTATATAGATTCATCGTCGTCGTCAACAACGAAGTCGTCATAACGAAGTACTTACCTACAATGATCAAAGAAAGTCGTTATTCCGCCTATGAAGTGACTAGTGACATTACCTTCAAATTTTATCTTATTTTTTAAATAGGCACAACGTCTTGGCAACAAGTATTTTTTTGAACTGATGATCTCAGAGTTTATTTAAATGTAAATTTTCTAAAATAATATACATATTTACATTGACGTTGGCAACTGTCGTATTTTTTCATTAAAATGTAGCATTATTTCTTTAGTGGCAATTTATTGGCATTGAGCTATAAGAAAATGATGACTAAGTTTTTGATTGGACCTAATATGGATTTCGCTTATCACTTAGATCACAAAAGGTTATTCTTTTCTACAAATATTCATTATCTGTGATAATCTGTTTTCATATTTTGTTCTACATTTAAAAGGTTGAAGTCTAAAGTCAAATGTTCATCAAAACAAATAATACGTACCTAAATCAATTTCAAAAAGTACATGAATCAATTTCAGTACAACTTTTTGACACATTAAACTAATGATAAACCGTACTCAAGTTATTATAAAACGTTACAAGAATATTTTATCTTTATTACATAATTTATGAACCTAATCACATTTGAATATCTTTATGTCGGAGATTAGTCCTGTCTAAAGTAATTTATTAAATGTGACAACTTTGATTAAAAAAGAAATACAAGTAGGTGTATACTATTAATACGAAAACCATCTTATTCCTTTAATAAAAAATATTTTAATTAATTCGTTCACTGGTCATCGATTACGCCATACAAAAAGTTCGGCTACCTCTTTTGTCAGCAAGAAAATAAATACAGGCGACTAAAAAAAATATAAATTCAAAAAGAGAATTCGCAGCGGCCATCATTGTGAGCTGAATGGTTTTTTTGTTTACAGATAATTTAGTTCTGTTTGTTTCGGCGGGAATTGATTTGCAATGCAATTGAACTTGAACTTGAAAAATCGGTCGATACGGGCCAGATGGAACGGAAGGTATAAATTTAAACCACATTTCGTACATTCGTATCTAGTTTTTATTGCAGTTTGATTTTAAGATTGCGCTACTGTAATATGTATTATATATTTTTATTTCGTACGTTAGGTCGTTCACTGTAAGTATTGGATGGGTAGTCATTGTGATAATTACTTATATTTTCGTTTCCATAGTCATAATTGCTAGACAA